ATATCGCAATCCGGCGTAACATCAGGGATATCATAACTGAAAATTGAGGCAAACATTCCGTTTTGGCGCCACTGATTATTACATAATCAAGAAATAATCGATGGGATTTGGATGAAAACATACATCAGGTAGGACCTGATCAAGCCCCCACTCCCTCCCACCAAAAAAAAAAACGTAATGTTAACAAAACCGAAAAATTAACTAGACCAACACATTCCCCTCCCTTTTTCTATTTGTTTTTCTTTTCCAAAAAATTAATTTTTATGGTTTAACAGAAATAAGTGAAAAAAAAAAAAAACTATTTATTGAAACATACTCGGTATCATGCGAGGAGCAAGGAAATAATACTGGAACTTCTTCTGGCAACGCTTTTGGCACCAGATACTGCTCATATTCGGCCAATAACTAAAGTCGTACTACAGATAAATAATATGGAAATTTTCACAAAAAAAAAATTATCACAAAAAAAAAATTATGATTTCCATCAAGCCGGGTTGTAGCAATCAGGTTGACCCTGGAAACCTAAGTGGCGAAGGCGCAGTGGAATACAGAAGAAAGAACAGTATGAGAAAAGAAGGTAAGAGTGAGATAAGACACATTTCGGTCCAAATTAAGTCATATACGTCTTAACACCGCCGACGTGGGGCTTCGTCAGTATGACTGTCGCAGTGTTTAATGGAAAAGACGAAAGGAAAGAAAGGGGAACGCTATGAATGAAGTGAGTTTTTAACTTTTAAAAAAGTTATTTTTTAAAAAAAAGTTACTTTAAATTAAATTCTATTAAATTCTCTAATCTATTAATCTGGGTTAAATCTATCCTTCTAAGTCAATGGAGTAGCAAGCGTACAATATAAAAGCCTACAAATAGATTCCACAACCCCCTTTACGGTAAGATTTTTTTATATATCAACTTCACTCACTCTTTCCCTTTATTACCCACTTATATTATTACTTTACCTATCCCATTCTAATAAAACAATTTAAATTTTAATCAAATCCATACTAATTACCACACAATCGTCGTACTGAGCAGGTCCAATTGTGGTAATGGTAAGAAATGTATACGACTTAATGGGCCGAAACAAAATTTCTTACCATTAAAAAGCATTTTTCAACATTTTTGGTTATTTTTTTTAAACATTATCTTATTTTACTTATCTCATTTAGAACTTAAAAAATTTCGGTAGTTTTTTCAAAAAAAAGTTAA